GATGAGAATACGCTCTGTAGTAGGTCCTACGGGGCTTTTGGCTAACTTTGCCATTAAAGTGTACAACTGACAATTCGTTGTACACTGGATTTCTCACTCTGAGTAGCTCAGCGGTTAGAGCTGTCATCCGTATTTCGAAAGGTCGTGGGTTCGATTCCCATCTCAGGGTGCCAGGGACCAAGTGGATTTTTTAAGCATTTTGTATTAAGAGTAATTTTTTAATATGACATTGTGAATGCAAAATTAATCAAAATATAATAATAAAATTCACAATGTTTTCCATTTTTTGTATTCTTATAGGGAAAATTGATACTTAATACAATCACTTTTATAGCTCATGGCATTATGTAGCAGTTAGTAATATTGTAGTATGTAGTTTATTTAAGAGTTTTTGACGCGGTAATTCGACATCCTCAGTTTCTATCTACGATATTTGTCTGTTGGCAAAGAGAAATAGGTACAGTGTTTTGGCTTTACCCCTACTCTTATGCATTTGCATTATAATTATTATTTGTTGTTGTAAGGGGATATGCAGTTGCCTGAGGAATTGAAGTTACTGCGACCTCGAAGATCTATTGTGATTTGCCGCCAGAGCTACAGCAACTCCTTTAGCTCGGTAGACTTCAAAAAGTCTTGATTTCATATCTTCTGGGCTGATTATTGTACTTATATTTGCTCTGTTTAGCTTCAAGAGCTCTTCAGCTAGTTTTTGTGAATGACCTTCAATTAGGGATTTAGCGTGATTTAATCCCGGCTGTTTTTGTCTGCATTTTTTTGAATCCCTTTGCAGGCCATTCTTTAGAATTGGCATCACATGGTTTTTTTGGGATACCACAAAAGGGCTCTGGTCCTATTTGTAGTCCCTGTGCTACAACCCTTGCTAATTCATCTGCTTTTCATTGCCGATGTTGCCCGAGGGTCTTAAACCCATTTAAAAATATATTTATTATTTTGCCCCATTTCATTCAATCTGTCAATACAGTCCTTTAACAGTTTCGAATTTATCACGCTCGAATGTATGGCATTGACTGCTGCTTGACTATCAGAGTATATGTAAAAGGTTTGATTTCTGTAATTTTGTTGGCGATTAGCTTCCATACATTCTAAAATGGCATATACTTTAGACTGGAATATAGTAGCGTTTATCTCAAGTTTATCACACTTTTGTTGAATTTCGGTCTTTACACCATATCCTACATTATGACCCATTTTGGAGCCATCTGTGAACCAGATTAGGCTTCCTGTTTTGCAGTGTTCATGTGTCTCTGACCATTCCTTGTCTGCTCGGTGTCTCCACTATTTAATTTTATATCAAAGTTACAAAGCGGAGTCATGACGTCTGAGGTCAGAGGTGTGTTCTCAAGAACTGTTTGATATAGAGGTCTGAGTGCTTGAGAATGCCAGTTCTTTTGACCAGTAACTCCTACTCTGTAGATGCTAGCTTACGCCTCTTTCATTATCAATATTTCATAATGCAGAGGCGTTAAGAACAGCTCCTGAACTTACGATTCATATATATTAAATTAATTTGAAAATGAGACATTATAAAAACACGTAAAGGTGTCATATTTATTAATTTCTGATAGTCAATTTTCTTTTATTATGTAAGAAAGAAAATTTGAATGAGTGAAAAAAAGTTAAATTAAAAAGAAAATTTGAATTTGAATGAGACTGGAGTGGTAAACATGGCACCGGTTGCTACGAGGCATGCCGTTCTTTGCAAGCTATTCAGTTTCTTAATTAACCATAAAACAAGGCCTCAAACGTGACAGAGGTCACGTTCCTATAGCGAACGCGTTTCTTTGGTTTGCAGTCTTTATGATCGCCGAAAAATGCATGGTATTCTATTCTTATATAAAATATTGAATGGGTTGATATCTACATCTTTGCTATTGGAAATTCACTTGAGAACGCCTGTTAGGTTGCCTAGGCTGCTGCGCCCATTTAGTGTGCCATTCGATGCCAACAATTTGTCATTTACCAGAGACTTATGTCAGCAAGATCAAAAATGAGAAAAATTGAAGGATGGCGGCTAGAGTTGTCTTGCTTTAAGTATGATATTGTATATCGACCGGGCAAAGAAAATGTTTCCGCCGATACATAGTCTAGAGTTTGCGCCAGCCTTTGTACTAATAAGTTATATGACTTGTATTAGTTATTGTGTCCTCCAGGTGTTGTAAGAATGTGGCATTGGATTCGAACAAAGAATTTACTATACTCGATTAATGACGTCAAACCTATTACGGCGTCATGTCCTATATGTGCAGAAATATAGACGTGATATAATAATACATATAGTCATGCATGTAATCAAAGCTACAGAGTCTCTTCAACGTCTCAGTATTGATTATAAGGGTCCTTTGCCCACGATTTCTCGTAACAAATATATACTCAAGATAATTGATGAATATTGATAGTCCTGATTAATCTGTTATTAAATGTCTTAAAGATTTATTCCTTATTTTGGAGGACCCGCTTATATTCATTGAGATAGAGGAACGGCCTTTGCATCGGATGAAGTGAAACAATTCCTAGCAACCTATGGTGTTGCTTGCCTCAAGCCGTACTAGTCCATACAACCCTCAAGGAAACGGTCAGGTAGAACTGGGTAGAACGCTTGAATGGGACGCTTTGGAAAACTATTCAACTCGGTCTTAAGTCAAATTAGGTTTAGATAGTTCATGTTGGGAACAAGTACTAAAGTCGCCTTGCATTCTATACGGTCACTCCTGTGCACAGCTACCAATGCAACACCACATGAGCGTCTATTTCGCCATACACGTCGATCACCGACAGGGGATTCTATACCTTCATGGTTATTGATTCCCGGTCCAGTCCTAATGGAAAAGAACGTTAGAATATCAAACTTTGATCCTGCCGTCGAAGAAATAGAATTACTTCATGGATATCCTCATTACTCTCATGTTGGCTTGTCTGTTGGACGTGAAACCACGGGTTTCAAATACACAATTAGCCCATCTACCGACAGAGGACTACGATTCTGATGAGGGATTCGATGCTGCAGATGTACCTGTTATTCCAGGTTATATATCAGGTAGTTTTCCTGGAGAGACGGACGCTACTGCCTCTTCATCTGGCACTCAAGAAGAAGGCACTGAAGTTTTGTGTCGATCGTCACGTTATAAGAAGATGCCTGAATATCTTAAGGATTTTGATAGAAGCTAAATAACATGGGAGGGGTGAATGTAGTATTTATATGTTGTCTATTGATCACTTAACATTGTCAATATGAATTCAGTATATCTCTAATGTAACTAATATTTTTATATTTTTATAGATCTGAGGTTTTTTATATTCACTTAATTATGAAATTATGAAAACTAATTCGTATTTATTTTATAGCCAATTTTTATTTTATTTATTTATTTTTTAATAATGCATGAATTTTGAATTCATGCATTATCCCACTCAAAATTATAACGATTGCCTTGATTTTGTTTTATGTTGATGTGTACACATGTCATTGGAAGTGCAACTTGACATGCTGCATTGTTATGTCCTGATTTATTTATTGATGTTATTGTACCTCTGTTTGTGTACCTAATAAATTAAAGAAAAAATGTCCGCATTAATCACCTGGTTCATAACATAACATATACATATAGAAGATGAGGCAATCGAGAATGAAAGTGGAAAATAATTTAGTTTTATATTTCGTTTAAAGTATATCATTTAAAAGTTTATTAGTTAAATCAATAAACCAATCGTGTGCTTTTAGAAGATGTGCTTTTGGTAATGAAAGTGAATGAACCAAAAGATGTATGTAATGCTAAGGACCGTACATTGTGATGCTTGGTCTTCTCTGTCTACTCCGCCAGGGATAAGGTGTGAAGATATAGGTAGTTTATATTAATTTTATTTATACCTATCAGTACAGTGTGAAACAGGCTTTTTTTTACATATCGATTTGTTTTCTTCAGTTTTTTTTTATCAACGATCTGTCCTTTTTTAGTTTCTTGGGGTTGGCAGCACTGCTAGTTATGTCATTTGTGACATGTATAGTCGATCATTTAGGGATGCCATTGTACATAAGAAATCGAGTTTCAATTAATCGGTTTTTATTGTAACATGTAAATTAATTAATAAATAACAGATATTTCTTAAGAAAATAACCAATTTTGATAAACATCATCTTTGGCCTTTTAGTCGTAGATGTTGTTAAAAATGAGACTTTTAATGAGGCTAAACATTTTTTGTAAGGTAAAACGTAATAGGGTGTAGTCTTACAACTTTTAGTAATTATGTTTATATAAAAGTATCATTCGTTTAATAAGTTAAAAATAAAAAAAATAATTTAGCTTACGGAATTTCCTGCAAAAACTCCAACCTTTGTCACGGCGTCGCTATGACGTCACGACCCTCTGAAACTAATATATTTGTATTAAGCATAAGGTTCAATTCTCAAATTTCCGATATGAGTAAAAGGGGCGTGCCATCAAGCGTTGTTTGCGGTCAGGTGACGAGTTTAACATATTTGATTTTTCACCATTAATTTAAGAAATATTATAAATATATAAGCACAAAAGTGTGTTTATCGGTAATAATATTTTAATCACCCTAAGATAAAAAGTAATATGTACTTAATTTTCGTTTACTTTCTGTACACCCGTATTGTTGTTTGGAAAATGAAGATTCACCAATGAATAATGAATGACATACATATCAACCAAATGTCGATAAAACAGTACAGTTCGTTGACTCCATCTTGTGAACGTTTGATGAAATGAATCTTTAAAATCACATAAAGAATGTCACTATAGATGCACAGATGACGTTAATGTAATATTATGGAGATGGATGTCAGTTCGCATTCCAGGCTTCGGGCCAAAAGACCAAACTTAATTTTGGGGGATTGCTGTTGAAAAATCGGTACTAATAATTGATTGACTGATTATAAAAAAATAACTATATAAATAAAATCATGTATTAAAATCGATTTCTACCTTTGGAAATTTGATTATTCGATTATTCTTATACATCCCTACGCTCATTTCATCCATCGTTATTGTAAAGTGTAAAGTTTAGTTTTATAAACTATAATTTACGTTTACTTACGTACGAATTAAGTAAACTATAATTATATTTAAGGAAAATGATTAAAATGAATATTAAAACAGATATAAACAGCACTGAAACTTACCAAAAATTATTTACGAAGCTTGAAAACCCAGATGTTGTTTATCAAAACTACGTAAAAAAACTGGCCAAATATCATTTCCAAGTAAAAGCTATAATACAGGTAAAATATACTATTTAATATATTTAGCTAAGATAAATGAAACAAACCTTTAAAGATAACATTAATTAATAGAGATTTATTCAATGAAGAGATTTCATTAATTTGTTATTCGGACAGGACATATTAGAATGCAGAGATTCTATGGAAGCTTTAAATGAATTAAATGAGAAAGGCAGGGCAATGATAAATCAATTGAGAGACGAATTAGAAAGCTTAGAATTATATGGAAAAGACAGTGGTGACCAAAAATATATTGTGGAATTAGAATCACAAAGACATTTGTTGGCAGGGTAAGTAGATAATGTGTTTATTTTAATTACAAAACATATGGTCAGTTTCACAAACATCTATTAGGGTTTAATGATGCCTTGATGCTCTAATGAATGGCAAATTTGTATGGGTAATGTTGCTTTAAACTAATGACAATTTTAATGGACGCTTGTGCAATTGGCTGTTAGTGTAAGTAACTGTGTGCTTGCTTTAAAGGCATTCATTGAAATACTGTTTTTGAAAATGTTTACATAACATATATTTTACAGCTTACTTAAGGAATTCAAAGAGGCGAATATAAGTACAATGTTTGCTATAGAGAAATCACAAAGAGAGGAACTATTGAAACCGCTAGAACAAGATGAGTCTGGAATAAAGCAAAGGAAAAAGAAAGTGGACAGAGATGGATTACTCAAAATGTCAACAGGTACTAAATCTAAAGGACCTTCCTAATTTGATACCCTTAATAATAAGAAATCCTTTAGTTACACATAGCTCTATTTGTGTCTATTACTTTTAGTTCAAGTGAAAAAGACAAAAACTATACAACACTTATATATTGCTTATACATAAAACTAAAGGCCTTACTAGGTCTTTAGTTTTATGTAATACTTTCAAAATTATAGAATTATTGCTCTAGTCAAAAATTATGAAATAAAAAAATATATATTGGTGTAATTAGACCATTCCTATCCTTCCAAAGAACGAGGCCACCATTTTTTTTCCCGCACTTCGATCTCTCTTCACTTTAGTTGGCAACTCCTCGAAAGGAAACACCCACTGAGCAGATTGTCTTTTGGTTTTAGGATCATAACAGTAAATCCAGCTTTCGTCACCTGTTAGTATGTCGAACACAGCATTTGAGTCACCTCCGTTAAATCTTTCAATCATTTTACGACACCAATCCACACGATGGAGTTTTTGAGCCTCAGTCAAATTATGAGGTATCCACCGGGCGCAAAGCTTCCTGACCGCTAAATGTTCGTGGAGGATTTTGTGCACTTGACTCATACCGATGCCTAAGCTTGTCCGAATCTGTTGATAGGTCACTCTTTTGTCAGTCTCTATCATACGCCGCACAACACAGATGTTATCTTCAGTCGTCGCCGTAGAAGGCCGTCCCTCACGTAAATCATCAGTGAGATTAGTGCGACCACGTTTAAACTCATTAAACCAGTTGTAAACAGTCGCTAACATATATCCTGACATAAAAAAAATATTGGTGTAATTAGACCATTTGACAATACAATGATATGCAAGAAGTGATAAATCTTGTTACGTTCATTGCTGGCGGTTTTATAAGTATACATTTGTTTTATCACCTTAACTTCTTGCTTTAATTAACCTTAAAATCTATTTTATATTATTTTCTAATCATTTGAGGCTGTTTGCAAGTCTTAATTAAAATTAATGCATTTTGTCTATTTTGCATTGATATTGCTGTACTGATAAATATTTTTAATGAAAATTGCATAAAAATACCACAAGGTCACCACTATTACCATATCAGGGTACCAGTGGCTGGTGTATGTTTTATGCATTTTTCATTAAAAAAAAATCTGTGTTAATAGTTTGCAAAACTCAACAAGAGCTGTTTATTTCTCCCTGTTTCATATATTCATAGCAGTGAATAGTAAAATACTGAATTATAATTAGTTGAATTTGAGTTTTTTTCCTATCTTAGGTGTTACTGAACAATTGTTGTCTATTAGTAGACAATTGGCAGATACCACACAAAGGAGTCAAGATACACTTGATAATTTAGTTTCTTCTAGTTCCACAGTGCATGTGAGTATTTATTCATATACATTGGAAATTACAATGAGACCAGGGGACTAATTGTCTAACTTTAAAATCTTTCGGTTTGAAAGATGTTGTATAACCATTGCTTGTTTCTGAAGACAGTTGAAAAAAAAGTATTTGTATTATGCAGCAATGGTTGTGCAACACCTTCCAAACTGAAAGCGATTGCAATAGATTTCAAATTAGACAATCAGGGGGCAGTTAAAAGAAAACTTTTAGAAATTATGATTATTATTTTCTCAAAATATTGTATATATACATATTGAAATTTCTATATATAAATATAAATAAAATGCAACTTTACTAATAATTTTTATCTTAAATTATAATTGTGTAACAGTAGAAATAGGAATACATTATTGTTTTACTAGAATAAATTATATTTTTGTTTAACAAGCGAGTACTCTACTGTGGTAGCCTGTAAAGCCGAAGAGTAAATAAACATAAACACTCATTTCATGCACCTTTGTCTATTGATGTTTTTATTAAATATAATATAACTTATCAAAAATAGGGAATGAACCCATTTTAAAATGTATCGATTTTCTTCATTAGATTCACTCATTTTTACAGTAAGAAAAACAAATGAAAATCACACATTTTTTTTATTTTGTATTTAGAGTTATCTTCTTTCAAATTTAAACTTTTTAATGATCAAATCTTTCTATATATATATATATATATATATATATATATATATATATATATATCTAGAAAGATTTGATTATAAGTATATGCATAGCATATGCAAAGACTTTTTACCCAACCTAATATCAATCAATTAGGTGACCCAATTACATTTATAAATTTTTTTCATAAATAAAAATGAATGTAAAATCTTTCTTTAAACTGTGTTTTACATTAAAAAGTTAATCTTATAGGTTGGGGAAAAAGTTACTTCATAATTTATACGAAAATTCAAAACATTTTTAATAAACATTGTTACATTTAACTAAAGTATGTAGGTACCATTTTGATCAAAATTGCTATCGAAATTTTGGGGCTTCTAATAAAAAATACCGCGACAAATGACTTTGGCAGTTCTCGCGTGATGTTAACCTGACACTGAATAAAGAATTCTGAAGAGACCGAAACACGTCGAACTCTGCAAGTGGAAGGTCTGAGTGGTAAGTGTAAGTTTTACGCTAACGCGTTCACTAGTGAGCGCGTTAAGAATTTGTATGGAGATTTGTAGTTCTTGATAGTTACCGCTAGGGGCGCTGTGCCGGATTCCATACTAAAATCTTAACGCGCTCACGATCGACAGTGAACGTAAACGTCAAAAAAACTTACACTAAGCGCTCTGGACTGTACGGCACATGTATTAACACCTCCCAGCAAAGCTCTTAATTTTTGTTCAATGTGCGAGGTCGAGTGTTATCACGATGAAAAACCATACCCAAGACCACGACCTTTTTCACACGTTCTTGTTATACGTGATCCACCTTTCATCAGCTTCTTCAGAAATGGTTCGGTTTCATCACACCGTAATAAAGAATCACAAATGAGGTTCATTAGGTTTTTTTCAGTGAGCTCGTGAGATACCGAAATATCCGTTTTTATTTACTATATTTGTACCTACAATTTAAAATATTTTTACAAATGCGTCTAAACTATTTTATGGTCAATCCCCAGTCCTTCAGATACGTTGTAACTACTTATATGCCGATCTTACTTCACTTATTCAAAAATGGCATCCATTTTATCCGCAACAGGGCGACCGGAGCGACTTGCGTCTTTGATATCAAAATTTCCGGATTGAAAATGCTCAAATGAAATTTGTGCTATTCTCACAGAAACTTCACTTTTAATGATACTGAAACCAGCTAAATATAGATGGTATATATATTTATAGCCAGAAAGATTTGATTTTAAGTATATACTTATAGCGAAGACTTTTTACCCAACCTAATATCAATCAATTAGGTATCATTCAAAAGGTGACCCAATTTTCAAATTACTTATTGTTCTCCAATAAATTTAATAAAATTATATAATATTTTTTGAATTAAACCGTAATAATCAATCGTATAACAAAATTTATAATTAATATGCTATAATAAAACTATTTGAAGTGTATTTTAACTTAGATTTGGGTAACGAACTTTTATGGCAGAGCTGTGATTGATTATAGCATCATATGTTTCAACCTCTATGACAACTTTATTCAATGAATGACATTTCTATATTTTTTTAAAGTGTCAATGGCCAGCGCCATTTAGATTGACTCAATAATTGATGAGTGAATAACTTTCATGTTTTATTTGTTTACTCATAATTTGTATGTTATTATGCTGTAAAACAATTGAATATATTTTCCTATGCATAGTCTAAATCGGTATTCAAACATTAAAGATTAATGCCTATCTTATGTGCTGTTAATATATTTTTATTTAATTTTTTTTTTTTTTGTTTTAGGGTACGCAATCTGAGTTACAAAATACAGCGAGTACAATATCACAGTCTAGCAAGTTGTTGACCAAGTATGGACGACGAGAGTTCACAGATAAAGTAATAATGTTATTTGCATTCCTATTCTTTTTAGCTGTCTGCTTGTATATTGTACAAAAGAGACTGTTTTGATGGAAATTTGTAAATTATGAAGTGATAAATTTATAATTATAAATAAATTATAAGATATTATTTATTATTAATAAATGTATTGTGAATACAGGATGTAAATATTATTTATTTGAATAACATATATTTAATTCAGATAAGAGCTTTTTTTTAATTAAGTACAGCCAAACAGATTCCACTTTTTTTTTAAAATCAGTAATTCATTCAATGCAGAGTTCAAAATCGCTTGTGAATATTGTGGTGATCTGGGGGCCAATTCTACTAAATAAATTTTGTTTAAATCGAATCGAAAACGGATCGAAACCGAACGAAACTACAGTTTTTAATGGTTTTTCTATTCTACTAAGTGACATACGATACAATTCCAGCTAAAATAGAACTGGAATTGTATCGTATGTCGTATGTATTTAAACAAAATTTATTTATTGGATTTGGCCCCCAGGTCAGTGATGTGTACATACTCAGTAGACGTGTCAAACCGGCGATGAAACGCATATAAATCCTCATGGACCGCGCCGAAGGAGGCGATAGAATAGAATTTTAGAGTTATTATGATACATTTTTTCCTTTCAAAGGCTTGCGAATGTGTTTTTGTAAAAATATTAAAAACATATTTTAACAAGTACGATTACGTTAACGATATTACGCAAACATTAGCTTAATTAATTCATTCGATGATTTCTTTAGTTTGTTATAATTTAACTGTATATTTCCGATATTCTCCCATAAAAAAAATCATTAAAATTCGCTTCGCAGTTTTGTTTTTTAAATCGAATTAACCAGTAATAGACTGTATATTGATGATGAAAGTGTATTAGTTTATTATAATCTCCATAACTAACTGGCTCATACGCCGCTAGGTGTCGCTATCCAAGGCAGGCCCGGAATCAGGGGGATCCCCCTAAAGATTCTAAACAAGTTGCCTCGTGTAAAGCAACCAAAGTCCTAAGTCTTTGTCTTCATTTTCTTAATTGATCATTCCCGTACGTTCATTCATGTGAACTCACCAATTCTATTCTTAATATTTCGTACTTACGTTTCCCCAATTACGCTCTGCTCTACGTTATTGTTAAAGCGGGAGAACATTGTACATTCAAACCCTCAAATTATTTTTATTCTATTTTTCTAATAAATGTAATAATTGACAATGTTTATTTATTCTTCAGTCAAGAGCTCGTGTAACTTAGTTGGGATTCTGTACTGTATTTATTAAATTCATGCTTCTTTTAAGCTTCATGTGTTCTCGACTTCACCTAGAATTTTCATTAAGTTTATTCTCCATAATCAACTTGCCCCTGTCTTGCAACTAGCCAACTTATCGTACTCTGAGGTTCCGAGCTAGATTTCCGGTAAGGTCAATTTAGATAATGGACTTTTCTATATTGCTTCGAGTCTGGGTGTTGTAGTATTTTTGGTGTCTCTGATACTCCATAATACGCGGGATTTAGCTATTGCTCGTGAAATCTATATTTGATCAATTTTTCATTCACAATGATACAAATACTGAAACATTTTTTTCTTAATGAAAAATGCTTCAAAATCCACTTCGTCCTTGGCAGTCTGAGCACCTTTCGCAATCCGGGCGATTGCTCTAACCACTGAGCTACCCAGGACCTAGCAGAACTGACGAATTTTTCAAGCACTTTTTACTTTTTCGCTACTACGTATTTTTGGGAATGTTCAGGCAATCCATCCAAACAGCCGAAAGAAATATTTTTACAAATATTGAAACTTTCAATAAAGATGAAAATTTGTTCTAATTATTATATTTTTCGAAATTTATCAAATTGCGAAAGATCATGGTCATTTGATCAGTGCCAGGGGACAAAGTGCATTTTTTAAGCTTTTTTGATTAAGAATGTATGTGATATTTACTAATATTAAAAAACAAATAGTATGTCTTCTTCATCTAATTAATATGAAGTTGATATCTGTTTTTTATATAAAAAAAGAAAATAGAACTTGCACATTTTATAAAACATGCACCTACTGTATCCTTTGGAATGTTGCAGTAGTCGTAGTTACCAAGCTTAAAACCTCGCCTAATATGTTCTTCCGTATACTACGTAGCTTCAAAAGTTTTGATTTGATGTATCTCTAAATTGTGCATTCTATGGAAAAGTATAGTCGCCTCACAATACTTATACAAATATTCATATCTCGGTTAATATGCTAACAACATTCGAAACAATAGTGTACTGTAGATCGTCTTTTATCAGTGAAATGAAAGTTTTAATAAGTCATTCCCTATTTATATGAGAATTAAATTAGTTGTCATTCAAGTTGTTAATAAAAAAGATCCTTAGTGTGACGAGATAAAGTTCTTCTGTGGATGCGTTTGTCAAGGTTTCACGTCATCTGTCAGTGAATGACCAACCTTGGGTCGCGGTAGACGGCCACGCTACTCGGTGCGGAGTGATTAAGTTTCCAGTTTTCCGCGATCATTCAAGATGCGTCTGACGTTAGTGTTTCTCGTTTTATCGTTGTTGCATAATGGAATAGCTCTGAATATTCTCGGTATAGTTTCGGTGCCATTACGAAGTCACTATATGGCATTTCAGACATTCTTCCGAGAATTGGCGGCTAGAGGGCACAATGTTACCGTTATAAACAACTTCCCTGATACTCGTAATACAAGTAATCTACGATTCGTCAACTTGAATCAGCAACTTTTAACGAATATCACTAGTTTGGAAATGTATGAGAATATAAACCCGACTTTCTTACATTGGAGGAATTTTTATAATTTTTTGTCTTACACACCGCGGATAGTGCGACAAGATTGTGAAAATTTATTCACAAATGTAAATGCGAAAAAGCATCTAGCTGAAGGAAATAAATATGACGTTGTGTTTGTGGAGTTATTCACTAGTGATTGTGCATTAGTATATGCAGCGGATAATTTTGAAGACACTCCTATTATTGGATTAACATCCCACGTTTTGTTGCCTCACACTTATACCGCGTTGGGGTTACCGTTCAGGGTAGCAGCTGATTCATTCTTTTTTTCCAAAGGAGGACCGAATCCTTCTTTGTTAACAAAAGTAGAAGTAGCTGTGATGAAATTATGTTTGGATCTCTTTGATCGGTTGGTAAATCACAGAATTATTAATGAAGTGTTTCAGAAACACACGAGAAAAGCTTCTTTAGATGTTGAGAGCATAGCGAAAGATAGAATGAATATGGTATTCGCTTATCAACATTATTCTATGACAGGAGCACGTTTGTTGGCGCCACAGCTATTGGAGATAGGGGGACTTCACATAACTCAACCAAAACCAGTGTCGAAGGTAAACTAGAAAACATAAACGGTAAATTGTAATTTTAAACAAGTATTAATCGGAGGTTTCACCGTTTCACTTCGAACATATTTTAAATATTTTTTTTTTACCCTATAGTAATACGATTCCAAAATTCTCAGGATATACAAGAATTTCTTTCAAACGCTAAACACGGTGCCATCTATGTAAGCTTTGGGTCAAACTTAAACATCAGTCGCATGTCGCCGCGCATGCTACAGAATTTCCTGACGGCATTCACGAAAGTCCCCCAAAAATTTTTAATCAAGTGGGAGAACGATACGTTTCCCTCAGGACATGATAACATCCTAACAAAAAAATGGTTCCCGCAGTTCGATGTATTATGTGAGTAAAGTTACGTTAATCTTGTCTTTAATTTTTAATTTTTTTATATCGACAGGATTCGAAAAGTATCCAATATTATATTATTGGATACTTTTATAAGAGGAAATGACGACGACGAATGAAGAGGTGATAAGTTATCACCTCTTCAAGGGGAATTTGACCTCAAAGAAAAATAATTAAATCGTTTGTAAGAGAAAATAAGGAACAAAGACAACACATATAGTGCCAAAGGAAATATCTCCTTAATATAAAACGTGATAAAGTTACTTTTGTCGCAAATTGAGTCAATTTTAGGAGTAATTTTGATAACTTATATAGATTAGTTAAAATTACTTCTAAAATTGACTCAATTTGCGACAGAAAACAACTTTATCACATTTTATATTAAGGAGATATTTCCTTCTATCATAACAGATATGGTAAATCTAAAATTTCTGTAGGAATGTTATAGTGTATGCCTTGTCCCATAAATTTTGCCAGAACTTTCTTTAGCCTACATGACGGCAAAACAAGTTTATTTTTGTTTCTAGTATTAAAATTGTGTACATGACTATGTTTAACGTAACTGTTAATATTGTTTCTAACATAAAGTATACAATTGTATATAAATTGGGAGGCCACTGTCAATATTCCAATTTCTTTAAAAAAGTGATCTTGAATTTAGATTAATAGCTCTTACTGCTCCTTTTTGTAAAATAAAAATATAGATTCTATATCATCTGCAGCCATACCACACAGAAGAATACCGTACGACCTAACGCTATGGAAATATCTAAAGTATACTGTTCTGGCAGTATCTACACATTTTGTTTGTTGTCTGATTTTACGTATTGCAGCAGCTGAACTAAGTTTTCCAGCCAATTATGAAATGTCATGATTTAGAATTCAGCGTTACACCCAAGATTTTTGAATAATTTAGGTAGTCAAATATTTGTTCAACCCATACAAATTATAAATATTGTTTTGTGATAATTATCACAGTGTTTAGTGTATGTTTTTTTTATGTTTACGTTCACCTTCGATCATGAGCACGTATAATTTTTTTTTATGGATACCGGCACAGCGCCCCTAGCGGTAATTATCAAGAACTAGGAATTTCCATATGAGCGCGTTAACGTAAAACTCGTGTGCGTTCACTACTCACTTCTCTGGGGCTGGTCATTTTTTTAAGTATATTATATTGAGAATAATTTTCAGTATGACATACTGTGAATGCATTTGTTATAAAGAGTATTTTCCTTTTCTTTGGCACGGAACCCAAAAAACTGCATGAAGTTAAATGCTACTTGCATTCATATTTAGTACAGGTATTATTCTACAGGTCACCCAAAAATTGCTGGGTTCATCTCGCACGGTGGAATGTTGAGTTCATCTGAAGCTATTCATTGCGGCAAGCCGATGGTGACGATACCGTTCTTTGGAGACCAATTCGACAATTCAGCGTCGCTCAGTGAAATTGGCTTCGCTAAAACACTGCTGTTCGCCAGTATCACATCGGAGATTTTGGCTAATGCTATTTCTGAGATTACTTCACCAGAGTAAGTTTATAAATAATATGTGCAGACAGGTAATAATATGACCGTCTGTGGCAGAGTGATTCAGTTCTCTTGGGTTTCCAGACGGCTTGCTTATTATGAGTACGACTAAACGGGTATGGGTATAAAATAAAAAAAATATATATAAAATTTACAAAACCGCATGTACGTCTGAATACTACATTTCTAGTTGATTATACACTCTATTCTCAAAACCTTAAGGAATAAAATCAAGTGGAAAAATTATTATATGAATAAGGATTAGGGTGTCTTTACTATTACTGACGCGATAAAGTTTACTACTACTTAGAAACGTTAAATCATTTTAATATATAATTTATATACAATGATATATACAGGTTGTATTAATAATACCAATTTTAAGTAACTAGGTATATGATACCTTCATATATGTTTGGATTAATAAATTCAATTTTCACAGAATGCAGCAAAACGCCCGAAGAGTTTTCAATTTATGGCATGACCGTCCTTTACCAGTTATGGACAGCGCCATCTATTGGACTGAGTATGTGGCTCGACAGCGTAATGCGCCACCTTCGCTGCCTTCCAAACATACCACATGGTTCGAGTTTCTACTAATAGATGTCATTTGTATTTTTGCGTTATTATTATTTATTGTGGTTTGGTTATGTGTCGCAATTTGGAAATTAATGAAAAAAGTATTTAGTGTATTATTGAGAAAATTGTTTTGTAAAAATAAAGTAAAGAAGCAGTAGTTAATTTATAGATAATAGTAGTTTAAAGTATTAATTATTATTATTAAATAAAATAAAAACATGAGTTTACAAATCGGATTTTATTTTACGCTAGTTAATCTACAGACGTTATTCATACACTCGTATCTACGTACAGTCGAGCGAAGTAATTATTTGAGAAAATGTCATAATTAAATTTTTTATCAATATACGAGAATTCGAATGGAGCAAGGACCGTGAATAGCTAAAAATAGTTTTCTAACTTTACAGTTCTCACTCATTCAAATTCTAGTTTATTTAGTAAAAATATTACGAAAGGTCGTGGGTACGAATCCTATCTCAGAGTACCAGGGACAAAGTGCAATTTTCGTTAAGTATATTTTCAGTATAGTGAATGCAAAATTGTTCAATTATAATAATTAGAACATCATCATCTTTTTCGAAGGTTTAAATATTTATATAAATATTTCTTTCGGTTGTTTGGATGGATTGCCTGAACATTGATGAAAATACGCTCTGTAGTAGCGAAAAAGTAACAAGAATTGGGAGATTTATCAGTCCTGTTGGGTTCTGGGTATCAAAGTGATTAGAGCAGTAGCCCGGTTTGCGAAAGGTCATGGGTTCGAGTCCCATCTCAGAGTGCCAGGAACAAAGTGGATTTTTTAAGCATTTTTTAAAGATTAAAATATCTGTTTAAGTTATGATATTTAGTAATTACTTCTATCGACTATAGATACTAGTTAGTACTTCTAATCTCTCATAATAAAAATTGTTATAGAAATTCTCAATATGTAAAGCACTTTTTTAGCATTCAGAAAAAAAATATAGCCTATGTTACTCGCTCGTTATATTGATGAAATTTATTATTGGTTCTGAAATATATGAGTTTATCCTTAACTTTTAAACGGTTTCATCGCGTTTGCATTTAGTTTTAGACGCTTCGGACCCTTTACAGGTTCCGTGTTCACATTAGATCTGAATAGAGCGCGTGAAAATATAAAAGAAATCAATAAGCAAATCTTTCCTCAAATATTAATCATATCAGATTTTAATCAAGTCATAAATTTCTCGTCTGGTTTTCTGATTTTTGAATTGATTGACTTGAGAATGCGGTGCGCGAGCGCTGCCGGGCCGCGTGATTGTCACATCGGGAAGGTCGACTGATTGCCGACCCTGACGCCACGCTGTCGGGATGTTCACACTCACCAATGGTGTTTCAGTTTATTCTTTTTGTTTGTATACAAACTGGTAAATACTACTCGTGTGAGTTGCATCCCTAAAAACGAAATTTCGTCTATTTTCGTAATGATATTATTATACTACCTACAAAGAAATGCATTTTTCAATGATTTATGATGCAACGGAGGTAGGAACAGCCTTACCCTCTAGCCATCTTAGTGATATTATTTTGTTTCATTTATTATTATTTTGTTTACTTCTTTGACATAATTTTAGTGGATAAGTTTGAATTAAATGACTTAAGTTGATCACATTGCTATGAAATCCATAATCCTTATGCTTTATTATTCTTTCGTCGTTAATAAAGACAACAGAACATAGCAAAGACCATTTCAATATAGTAAAATGAAATGAAACATCGCCATAGCTTCGCTAAAATATCGTATCCTATGGCTAGAGAGTTAGGCGGAACCCTGAACTCTGCCTCTGATGCACAGATATAATCTTCATGCATATAGTTTAACAAGATTATATGGCCAATCGAAATCTTCCACATTTTTTTACCGAAGCTCCGATTGTGAGATTTCCGCCTGAAATTCCGACTTACATTAACTGGCTTTAACAGCCAAGAATAATTCGCCATTACACTTTCATTCCTCTATACTCTCTACACTTTTATACTCGTTAGCGACAAAACATCTCTTGCGAACCCCCGTGAAATATAAAACTTTATTTTTATGCGCCAGGAAAATGCTTTTAGCACTGTCGTTGCCATCTGTTGAGCGACAGGTTTGTGGGATTCTCCTCCGTCACCAGAGGCTTTCCGCCAAAATTTCTACGGTATACCTTTTGCTGGGAATGAGACCTGGGAAGTCGTGTTCGAGACGCCAGTATACACACCCTCTGGTCTAAAATTTTATTCTTAGTTTTCTAAATGGAAAATAATATTTTGCTACTGCTATTTTGTCAACATAAACTGTCCACATATGTACCAAAACTTATCTGGAGAGCTTAAAACACTTCTCGGTGTCATTTTCAATTGAGCGTTACGCATTGTACGGAGCTGTCGAATATTTTAACCATTGTAGACTTGTATAATATGTTACGTCAGATTTTCCCTGTCCATTGAGGTCGATTACCCATGCTCTTTAGGTAGAGGTCAAGACATCACCACATGATATATTTTATGAAAACCTCTTTTGTAAAATTGATGACTAGCTGTTTTTCCGCGACTTTGCCGGCGTAAATTATCACCCCATATGATCTAACCGTAGCTGTAAGAATTTTTATGATAGGATCAATGTTTACGAAGATTACCCCCTACAAACAAACAAAGTTAGAAACTTATTTTTATTATTAGTATAAATAAACGAGATAATATTGAGACTGCTGACCACAGCATTTTTGATGGCTACTGAGGGAATCTGTATAGGTACCCGATGTGTGATATTAAGAAATTTTTCGATAGTAATAAAAATGTATTGAACACAAAATTAAATAAAAGAGTAGCTCGGTGGCGTAGTGGATTAGCGCCGCGGCCCGTGATCGTAGTCGTAAAGCAACTTTCACAAGGGTCGGTCACGGGATGGGTGACCAAAAAAATTATTATCTCGAGCTACTCCGTGCTTCGGAAGGCACGTTAAGCCGTTGGTCCCGACTGCATTTCCAGTCGTTAATACCCTCCAATCCGCATTGGGCTAGCGTGGAGGGTCATGGCCCATCCTCCTTAACCATCCATAAGGAAGGCCTGAGCCCCTGCAGTGGGGACGTAAAAGGGCTGATGATGATGATGAACACAAAATAAAAATACTTATATATTTTTAATGAATGAGCATTGTAATTGCAAAATTGATCAAATATAATACATAATTAATTACGTTTACATAGTTAAAAAGAGATGACTTTTAGCAGTTACTAGTGGCCGCCAGCGACTTCGTCCGCGTTTTCCATTATTTCTTCGCTCCTAATAGTTGCAGCATGATGTTATATAGCCTAAAGCCTTCCTCGATAAATGGTTATTCAACACAAAAATAATTTTTCAATTCGAACCAGTAGTTCCTGAGATTAGCGCGTTCAAACAAAGAAACAAACAAACTCTTCAGCTTTATAATATTAGTATAGATATAAGGTGTAATATAATATAAGGCGTATACGCAAGGACTTCGTGGAGTAGATTAGTTAAGTATATGGAACAAGTTTTACTATGGGAGCAACACTGAATTAACAAGAAAATAATTATAATACAATAATACAATAATTATAATACAATCGTTGACAGTATGAAACAGCTGATGATTTTTTCATAAATTCAGTGTTGCTCCCATAGTAAAAGTTGTTCAGGTATACTGAACTAATCCACCCCATGAAGTCTTCGTATATAATTATAATACACCTTATAAGATAATAAGAGTGTTATTTTATGTATATCTAATTATTTGTATGATACAATAATATCATTGGTATCATTAGTGTTTTTCTCAGCGAAAAATTATACCACCAATCAAAGAGAAAATATTAATTTGAAATACTTCGTGCGCTCGATGACACGTTTAGATGTTGGTCCCGGCTGCATTTGCAGTCTTTAATACCCTTCCATTTGCTTTGGGCCAGCGTGGAGGGTCAAGGCCCATCCTCCTTAACCATCCATAAGGAAGGCACAGGCCTTGCAGTGGGAACGTGAAAGGGGGCATGATGATGGCATAATCTATTTTGCTCTTATTATTTAAAACTCATGCAATACCTTAAAATACTTTTTAGTTCTTTCTTCCGTTTAGTATACAAAAGTACAAATTTCTGATACTAATAGCACCTAAGGAGCTTCTTTTGTCATTGGTAAAGGTACACTTTTTAATGGTTATACCTACATAAGTCTTTTATTTTGTTGTGGTATTACTGAAATTATTTTTATGGGCGTTGCTCTAATTTTTTGTCTAGGGTGCCAAGTTTCATTGAGCCGGCGCTGCATATATCTTATGCAATTTATTTCCGTCTCTTTATTCTTTATAGGGTAAACCAGAGATTAATTGCCCACAGGCAGTGATTGCCCGTTTTTAGAAAAAAAATCTGAATCAAAGGTTGTGTTATCACTTGTTTCGAATATAATTTACTAGGTTATTCTATGGTCAATTTATAGTAGATTTTAAAATTGACAAGTGGCAACTGAGGAAAAAAATACAGTAAAGGCGGATTTTGTCAAGACGGGTGAACGTGTTACTCAAACAGGTAAGCATTTTAGCAATTTTTTTAAGGAATTACTTGCTTAGAGGTTCATTTTTTTTGCATTTTATTTGATATTTCATTATTGGTGTATGGTTATGACGAAATCATAAGTGTAATGTTATGTTTCTAATGAAAATATTTGAAATCAGATTAGATTCAATGGTTTTTTAACGGTGAGCAATCGCTGTACGTGTTTCGGCATATTTTTAGTTATTGCCCACCATAATTTTAGTGATTGCCATGGTTAATATCTGTAGTTATTGCCCAGGGCAATCATTATCGGTAATTTTTTGATTAAGTAAGTAATGTTACCATCACATTTATTAGCTTAATGGCTTGCACACGCGCAATAATATTGTCAATATTTTTTTTTGTCAATATATTTTTGCCACACACACGCAATTATATTGACAAAAAGCAGCATTACATATGAAGCAAAAAGAAAAAGAAAATCTATTGAAAGTAAAAGAAGAGAAAAAGTTGATCAAAGAAAAGAAAAAGACTGAAAATGCAAACAAAAAGTCTAAAAAGTTAGTGAGACTGTTAAATCTAAGGAAATAGATACGAGTTTAGAGGATAATACCCAACAACCGATTGGATCTTTTGAGCAACAACTGATTGAA